TGGACAAGCCTCAAGACGTTTCCGTACCAACAAAATAGTGCTATAAATTTATCTAACAACATTCCCAGCCCATCTCAGTTGCATTGATATCCTGACAGTTCTAGGTGGTCTCTATAAATTTGGAGATTTCGCGTTATGTAATATGAATTTACCCCTTAATTTGTCTTAGGTAGTCTAGCGGTGGTCTAGCGGTTAGAACGCTGGCCTTGTAATCCTGGGGTCTCGGGTTCGAATTTATAACTTGTGGTGGTCTAGGCAACACGGAGTTTTTCTCCGTGGCATCCCAACAATTACTCTATTCACACACAGAAGCAGGCAATGGCAAACCACTTCTGGATCATCTGCCAAGAACGTATATGAACAGGTCCCAGTCCGAGAAAAGGATGGAAGGATCCTGTTCATATGGACCTGTCGTCAGACAGAACACTAAATAATATAATAATAATAATAATAATAATAAGTGTGATAATGTGTCAATTTGTCATTTTCCATAGCATAACACGTATAAACCATTATTATTGTCTAACACTAGAGGAAACAAGCTTCCAAATTTGAGCTTGTTCTAATTTATTTTTTACTAGAGCTAAGTAAACATAATCATATAAAGTGCAAGAACCATAACAGATTTACTCTGAGCCGAACCACATCAAATCAGATGGCTCAACCAGCTGTAGTCCTCGTCTTCCGCCCCTACTTCTCTGGTCGAGAAACCGTACTGTTCACCCTCCCAATGCGCTGAAGTGGCTTATTGGCATTTCCACTTGAAACTCGACTGTCATTCTGTATTTGAACTACAAAGCAATTGCATCAAATCGGCAAAGGGGAACCAAACCAAGCCATCTTGTTACAGTAGTATGCGTTGTTACTTCTGTGGGAGTGACTACCCTACCATATTCATGTTGTAAAATGACATGTGAAAAGGAAGGGATGATAAAATCAGGTTGCAGCGAGGAAGGGTCTCGATATAAGCTGCTTCAAATTCTGAAGACGACTTACTTTGTCCAGAACAATTACGTAGTTTTTCTCAAGCATATATTTCTCTTGTGGATTCAAGTCAGGAGTTGCTGGTGGTGGCAGTGCATCATTTTGTGTTGTTGACCTTGACTGATTTTCTGCTGCTGACTTGGACTGATTTTCTGATGCCGACTTTAACTGATTTTCTGACGCTGACTTGGACTGTTTAACCTCCTGTGGAACAGCTGCTCCTAAATCAACAGTTACTACTGATGCTTTCTTTTTCTTATTCCGCTTATTGTGTTTCTTCCTTTCCGTATTCTGTATGTTCCATGGCACAGATGCAAGGTTTGCATCCCCCCCTTTGAAATTATGAGCTCTCACGGTTGTCTTCTCTGGCTTCAGCTTGGGTTGGGTACCATTATGTGTTTCATCAGCCATCTTGATGCAAGCAGAGTCTTATTTCTGGAGGGAAAACATTTTTAATACAGGGCAATTGAAAAAGCACTCTAAAAACTTTATACACACTATAATTGACACTGATTACTCATGGCTATATATAGACTGATACAGAATCTGTGATCGCTTCGTATGAGTTCTACAGGCACATCATGTGAGCCCCATGAATCACATAGCAAATATCAATTAACTACTCCATTCCTTCCCAAACCTTTGCCAATATGACCCAGGTAAATGATATTACTGTGTCAGTGATCCTGTATTGCAGTTCAAGAAAAGTTATTGGTAATGGTGGCACATAGTATCCTTCACATAACCTAATAAAGATAATTTACATGGTATTATATTCACAAGAAAACAATCAGAATTATGGCAGGCATTCCAAGAGGATCACTATAGATAAATATTTTTTTAAAAATGTAACACACCCCCCTCCTTCTGCATTCTTACATTACCATCGTTGTTTGTGTACAACAGAGAAATGTTTCAGACAAAGTGACATCGCTGCAACTATGCATTTATGTTTGTATTAAATACTGATTTTCGTACTAAGACGTTTCACATCATTGGGAAGTACTAGAGAGGATCTAAGACATGTTTCTAATTCTAATGGTATTCTACGTTTTACAAGCTGAATCCTTGGCTGCACAGTTCATATCGTGCATAAACCCAATATGCACGTCAACAGGTATGTTGTGTGCAGGTATTCCCCTACCATTTATATCACTAATCTCTTCCTTTTTCATCTGTTATCAACAAAAACACAATACTGATCCCGTCACTTCACCAGTTAATGTGAACAGTCTTTCCGATCTCTCATCTCTAGCCAAAATCGTATTGCCATTTTGCACAAACCCAGATAAAATTATCGACAAAAAGCGATGGCATTTACTTTAAATCTTTCTATGAAAATACATTACTGCTTTCTACAACCTCCCCACCATTCAATGTCCACTGAAGTACCTCTTCACATACACGTCACAATTTTACTATGTTGTTGTTAATCTGTGCACGACACCACTGAAATTAACAACAACTAGTTCACAGACAATAAAAACTTTCTGTTTGATTCTGAGCGCTCAAGTGGGAGGTATTTGAAGTTCTGTTGTATCTGTAAATATAAATTACCCGTGCAAAACGGGCAAGGGCACGGCCTGCTACCCCGATCACGGAGACCTTCAACTGAAGTGATCCCCGCCCCCCAAGTCCCAGAGCCCTTCAGCCGAAGCGACCCCACCCCCGTTGGGTTCAAACCCCAGAGAACCAAGCAATCAAATTCCTTTGGGCAAGTTGCCTGACGAGATAACCTCCCATCAGCAGCAACAGACCCTAGTTTGAATAGTCGAGGCTCCCGCCACGACAAAACCACCGTTAGCGTAAGCAAATTTCCGTTTTAGTTTTAAGGCTCTGTTTACAATTTCCAGCAATGTGTTCCATACACAGAAATGGTGGTACCTAGCAAGGGATGATGTCCTGTGCCTGCGCAGGACTCCGCCCTTAGTTAGCAGTTAACAGTTTTAGGTATTTTTTTTTGTGAACTTCAGGTTCATTATTTTATACTTATATTTTTTTACTTTTTCTGTACTGTCTCATATATTCTGCATTACGGACTCTTTTAGCTGCAATGTCATCCATCCTGTTATCTCTACACAGTATGACGCAACACACAAACGCAGCAGTAGCATGAAGTGCGATGCGCCTTTATCCCTTACCTCAAACTTTGTTCAATTGTAAGAGATCACGATGTCCACTGGCAATGATCATTTTAATCAAAACTAAAATGGGGAGAGTGGAGGGCAGTATCACAGATTTCTTAATAATTCTTATATAAGATAAGTACTTGTGATATTCTAAAACGTTTTTAACAGCACAATATTATCTACTCTAAGACACACTTCTTCTACAAGCGATTCACAGCTCAGCTCTTTCCGCAGTAACGAAAGTGGATTGTTGACGGTGTTAATGAAACATAACAATGCCGAATAAACAGATGACATAACAATTAGTTTCTTAGGCAAAGGAGTGGATTGCAATACGGTTTATTCAGGCAATTATACAGCATGCATAGTAAATGAGAAAATAGCTTTACGGCATGCTCAGCCAATAATGTTGCAGGCGTGTGTTAGGACGTATTTATGTCAAAAAAATCATGGAAATAACAAACAGGAATTATTACAGTTCAGACTCTCTCAGCTTTAGATGCCAATGCACTACAATTTTCACACATATTGCAACTACAACAATATCATGCATTATCACATTTCTCATTTTAGAGGCAGTGTACAAATGAGGGAAAAGTTACATAAACCAAAACCTGAAAGCTAAACTCTCTGATGGAAATAACACAAACAGATATTGCAGTGACATTACAATTGGGATTCTTAGCTGATAAATATTTTAATTGCTTGAACACTTGCAGATATACAATTCATATTAAAATGATATGGTTAACAGCACATACTTTATGACAAAATCTATTATTCATCAAACAATAACAATGAATATAACAATAAATCTTCATTGAGTTTGAGGGGTATGTTCCTTGAGAATAGCACATAAGGTAAATTCACATTGAACAAATTTAATTCCTTGATTTAAATTAAATGAAGATATGAATGTAGCTGGGCACAGATTCATGTCACATATTTATATTTTTACATGCAATGTAATGCCTATACTGTATATGAATAACAATTAAATAAAAACAATAAACAATGAATTATATGACATTTGCATATGATAAATAGAAATATTGATATTTAATTATAAATTATATACATATAAATTGTTATGATATGATGACAAATTTGACAGCTGCAGTCCTTACTATTTGAGAGATCATTAAGATAATTTGAAAGTTTGACATCAACCCCCATGGAAACTGTTGCAAGTGTTGATGGATGGAGATCATTGGAAGTTGGATATTTGGAGAAAATACTACAGCATACGTTGATATGTACACTACTAGAGCATGGCTGACAGACTGTAAATTCAAATTGTTTACATAATCCTCCCTCTTCAAGCTGTTTTCTTTAGCTCTGCAACATTTTGGGATAAAACGGAAGTTGGCAAATGCCAGGAAGGTCATCATGATCATACCCACTGACATTTGCTGTAAAAAAAAAATATTCTAAATATTGTACAATAATGTATTCAGATTCTTGTTACATTACCAACTATAAATGTCTGACTACATTTTTCAACAGGAAAGTAATTTTATTCAGACTTATTCAGTATGAGTGTCACTATGTTTTTTCAAGTATGAAACTGAAGAAAACCCTTTACCACAAACTGTACATGCATATGGTTTCTCTGTATGAGTCAATGAATGTTTTTTCAAATTACTGGCCTGAATGAATCTCTTACGGCAGACATTACATTCATAAGGCTTCTCTCCACTGTGAGTCAGAGTATGCGTTTTTAAATTGGTAGACTGTACAAATCCTTTACCACATATTTTACACACATGAGGCTTTTCTCCACTGTGAGTACGTGAATGCATTTTCATAGCAGGAAACTGTTTAAAGCCTTTGTTACAAATTTTACAAATAAATGCTTTCTCACCAGTATGAGTGACCAAATGTTGTTTCAAATGAGAAGGTCTCCTAAAAAGTTTCCCACAAACTTCACAAACATGTGGTCTTTCTCCCGTATGAGTAAGTATGTGATAACTTAGATTACCTGAATTACTAAATCCCTTGCCACATTCTGAACACACATAAGGCTTCTCGCCCGTATGAGTCATAGTATGCGCATTTAAATTCCCAGACGTACAGAAACCCTTACCACATACAGAACATAAATAAGGCCTCTCTCCCGTATGTTTCAATTTATGTGTATTTAAGTTGCCTGTATCATTGTATCCTTTACCGCATATTTCGCATTTGTGCGGCTTTTCTCCCGTATGTATCGGTATATGTCTCTTCACTTCAGCAACACATCTGAACACCTTGCCACAAACATGACATGTAGGGCATTTACTTGTAGTAACAATTTTGTTTCTAGGTACCTCCTGAAGACACACTTCTGGTACCAACACATCTACTTCATTCTTTATATCTTCTTCAAATGTTTCCACACCATCATCAACAAAAGAGCATTCTGCCTCATCCTGTGTAAATTAAAAATGTCAAAATACCACACAGAAAAGAAATTTATTACTGAAGTATATGTGAAGGCTGATCCTGTATTTAGAGTAGTGAATATTTATTTTGTGCTGCATATAATGCCAGCAGAGGTCATGGGTGTCATTAATTCAAATTCTTATTGTACTGTACTTAAAGGCAGGTCTTTTCACCAAGTTGGTCATTAATTCAAATTCTTATTGTACTGAATGTAAAGGCAGGTTTTTTCACCAAGTTATGTGTGTTCCTCAAATATATTGGTAAACATGATAACTTCGTTCACTGCCAAAGTAATTTTAATTTTAAGTAATAATTTATAAGTAACAAACTACAAAACAAATGCATATAAAAGATCTCTAAAACACTACCTGGACTTCAGTTTTAACTGCAACAAACACAAATGGAACTGGAACTTCCTGCTTAATATCATCTGCATTAATCTCAATATCAGATGTGTCTACCTCCTTCTTGATTATAAGTTCTTCATTCATGATGTACTGTTAAACAAACAATATGATACATGAAGATTTCTGTCAGAGTTCATACTGCCTCCGTCATCGCCCCGATGACGGAGGAAGTATGAACTCTGAAACGTTGGTTAACATCGACCAGACTACATAGCACAACAACCCAGAAGACAGAAATCTTCATACTCACCGCTGTAAAAACCTCAAATCTTAAATATGATACATATTTCAGAATCAGCAAGCAAAATGAGAACAAACTACTATTATTGTACTTCAAACTAAATTAATCAAAGGTACTAAATATGTGGTCCACTAACACTGAGCATATAGCTGTAACTCTCCATACTTTAATTCAAAGTAGATGACAACTTGATTAAACAGTGGACTCTAAATTATCTTCATAATTCAAGGGAGAGCAGGAACAGATAATTAAAATCAACACAAAACCTGAAAATAATAATACAGACATTTGCTTTAGAACTCTGAGTGGCACTTTATCTCTCACAGTGATTGTCAGATAACAGTATGTCTTCGTGTTGCTTCAAATAATAATAATAAAAAAAACCTATAACTCCATTCTTAAGCAACTGAAATGCTCATTTATGTACCACAAACAATGCAGTGAATCATAGGCACATACAATCAGTCTTCACATTAAAAAATTTTGCTCATACAAACTTTTATAATGAAGCACATTCACACTTCTTGGCTCAGAAAAAAACAAACTATGTAGCATATTGTGCACATAAAACTGCAGCGAGAGTACATTAGTAAATATGACTTCAGGGTCACTGGTAATAGCCTACTTACAGAAGAGATGCAGAAGTTAAAATGAAAGGGAAATTTTGTTAATGTAGAGGACAGACAGGGAAAGAATGCATTTAACTTCTGGCAAGAACAGTGGGATCAAACTCTAATACTACAACTCCCTCTGTATAACAATTACTATCATAGTTACCATTAAAATTTAAGACTGCCAGTAGAGACTGGATGACTCTCAGACATCAGATGGGAACTAAGAGCCCTTTCCCTTGGGATAGAGTAGCAAGAAAATGAAGCTGACCACTCACTTCCAAATAATGCCGAGATCATTAATGTAGATAATTTATGCAAATATAAAAGATTACTGGCAAACCTAATTAATGAAGTCAAAATAATTGAAGAATTAATGAAATGGCTGGGTAATGATCAACGATTTATGACAGCCTAATAATTACATTGTATTGTGGCAACAAAACACAATCCTTACGAGTTGGTTTATACCATTAATGTGTTAAAATCATCATACGAACCAGGAACCATTCATAATTATCACAAACAGAATAAGGTTGTGGAGAAAATTATTCCGAAAGACCAAATATTACACAACAAAAAACACGTTTTGGGGGATAAACTTACAATCATCTGTATTAACAACACGATAATCTGGACCTCCAACCTGTGCTTTCGACTGAATCTATGTGTCAAAATGGGCCCAGAAAGGTCACTACTTTCCAGTCGTATAAATATTGAAGTCAATATCAGAACTGCATAATGACAGCCACTATGACTGGAAGCAAAAAGCAATATAACAGTGATGTGTCTCACCACGACGTATGTTCACATACTGCGTGAACATACACTGCAATCAACTTTCGAAGAAAAGTAATGTTGAGAAGCATCATTAATAACATGTGCCAAAAAGTAGAGGGATAGTTTGTAATTATTTTCAAGCCTTATGTTTTGAAAAAGCCAACTGATGTTTTGATCGAAAACTAGTATAATCTAGCGTAAGGTTCAATATTCTGGCTATTCCAGATTACGATTTCACAAAATTTCGATTAAAATATATAAGATATTACATTAGGTTTCTTCAGTTTGGTTTAGCATAGTTTTCATATTAGTACCCGGTTCCATCTATTACGTTGCGTTCCCTGAAAGGTGTTCCGGATACCAGTTTTTTTTCGTAATTCTGTTATGTATTCCGTGTTAAGTTCCGGTTTACTTTTTCTGCCATTAATTTTATCGTGTTGTGTTCACTTTGCATTGAGTTGAATAAAGTTACTTTGTTAGGTTATGAAAGCGTTGTTAGAAACTATAGTCCATTTAATATCCTGCGTTACGATGTGAGGATTCCAAATTCTGGGTTGGCAATAGTTTTGTGTTGCGCAAGAAAATGATGGGTAGTATCAATATTGGGTGATTATATTGTTTGATTGTATTCACTTGGTTGGTGATGTGGAATTATTTTTAATTTGGTTAGATGAGATAGGTATGTGTACCTCAAGTTTCATCTTGTCACAATAATGTGTCAGTATGCTGTAAGTCATTGTGTTCATTCTTGATATTTCACTGCAAATGCGATGCTGCAACATGGATTCCTACATTACAAACACCTCCCTTATCCGACTCCACAGTCTGTTGTGTTTTGGAATAGTCCAAGACTGCACTTAATGTTTGCAACTGGTTAATAGCACTCACTTATTATGTATGTGCCATTAATATGCTTCATCCCACCAAATGCAATTTATGCCATTTGCAGTACTAGACAATTTTATACATCAAAGAGAATGGGACCCCAGGAGCTTTTAGTAGATAGACACAAAACCAGACTGTTCTTATGATTTAGTATGAAGATAGTAAACACAAATTGTCTTTAAAGTGTACATTTGTGAGTGGCCAGCCCACTGCCTCTGCACAATTTCTGCAGATCCTGATTTTACTGCAGGAGCCATCTAGTAGTGAATCAGGAGAGACTTGGGTGAGAAATCACTGTTGAATTTTGCTAATGAAACATCTTGTTCATGCTCGTAAGGTTGTCTTACATGCCGTAAATCTATGACATGGGATTGCCGGCTTTACTTCCCATCTGAAAGAAGTTGTACTACAGATTTTTATCACCCTTAGAATTCCATCAACCTCACCTGGGTTTGAACCAGAAGTTGTACTACAGATTTTTATCACCTTTAGAATTCCATCAACCTCACCTTGGTTTGAACACGTGTACCTTGGGTCCAGTGGCAAGCACGCTAACCAGTAGTCCACCGAGGGTGACACATTCTTTTGCTATGAAGTGCATATACCATGGCACAAATGTTTGGCAAAATTATTAGGTGGCAGAATTCACCATGGAAACAGGTAGGAAGAAGATGATGAAAAATACCAGGCAACTCATGTGGTAGACAGGGATACATTTCAAGAAAACTTATTTTTTCAAACAGCATACTTTACAAATGTTATGTACTTTTTTTAAGAAGTAAATAATCTTGAAATGGCTATATTTCAATTCATTATACTTAGTAGTTTAAGAAATAGGCAGCATTACATACTTTACACACTGAATGTTTATACATCAAACTTAAAAAAATCATGAAAGAAAGGCTCATTCTTACCCTCTTCACTTAAATTAACTCTATTTATAGAACTGTTAAGGTAAATAACAATTTATCTCATGGAGACAAAGAATTACAACTGTCTGAAGCACTAATGGCTTTATTCTATTACAATTTGCATAACTTGTGTTTTAACCCTTATAGTGTCAATGCTATAAAGCCTCTAGGATGAATTTTCATTTCAATAAAAGTATCAGCCTTACATATTAGACAGCGTCTAGATAAAACAAAATTTTCACATCTTGAATACCTTTACATAATTTAAATATTTACCAAACCTAGTTAAACTGACTGACACAAAAAGGGTTAGCACATACAATCTACATTCTTACCTGATATTATAACCCAAAGGAATGAAATTCCAAGAAATTACTGGCAATCAATGCCTTCTATAAATACGAGCACCAATGTTCATGTCGAGACAACTGATAAATATACCAAAATCCCAAACAAAATTACATTTTCTTCACTTCTTGCAATTCATTACATAACATTTTTGCAAAATGATAAAACAATTACTTTTCAACCACAAATAATGACAAAATATTAATCTGTGTGCTTTGACTTGTGCCAATCAAGATGAGATTTAAAACTGAAACTTTTCCCACACAGTGAACACTCATAGGGTTTCTCTCCAGTATGTAATCTCATATGGTCCCTTACATACCACTTGACATTAAAAGACTTATTGCATACAGGGCAATGTGTTTTCCCTTCCCTATGCACAGCAACATGTTGTGTGAAATATGATTTTGTTGTGAAACCTTTGCTACATATAGTACACTGGTATGGTTTCTTGATAAGATTATCCTTTTTGGGAGAATTCCTCTCTGTGGCAATTTCACCATGCTCTTCCTTTAGTGTGGAGTGTCCATCTTTGTGAACCAGTGCCTGAGGAAGAATCTGTGAGGAACCCTGACAAGTTGCTGCAATATACCCATATGTTAATGCAGTTTGTGTACTCTGAATGCTGGTTTCAGGAACTGGAAGTGATGATGTCATAATGACAATTTCACGTTATAACAAAGCTGAATATATGAAAATCCTCAATACTCAGAAAAATATGTAGCTTCAAGTTTACACTTTGTAAGAAATAGCTGTGAGCAGAGAAGCAGGCGTCATGTTGAATTCACTCTAGGAATCAGTATGTCATCTTCTTGTATTATTTCAGCATCCTATAATTTATAAGAAAATAATGGAGCCATTTAGTAAACATAACCATTGCCATATTTTTCAAACCTTCATAGACACTTCACTCTATCTACTAATTTTTATCAGTAGTGCAAAAAAGACTTAAGAAAAGAATGGTTAAAAACAAAAGTGAAAAAAGACTGTGCTACTGCTGGACAATGCACCATCTGTAACATAATGTTCAAAATCAAACAATGCTCAAATCTGTGTGAAATACTTGCCACCTAAGGTGACTGTAATTTATACTATGAATCAAGTAACAAATGCCACAATACAACACTACAGAACAGAGACTGCAAAACATCCCTTCAGAGTTCAACACTATGTTGTAATGCTATAGTACATTCTTTATAATACCTCTGCTTTCAACATCCAATATGAGAAGATAAATATCTGAATAAATTCTAAAAAGTTATTTTTATTATGCGAGTATGTAGGTGAAATCAACCCAGTTAGAAATACCTCAGTTTTTTCCTGTCAGCATTGTGATAGGACTACAGCACAGTCATGATAAGGCATTTACATAACTACCAAATACAAGAAACTGTCATACTGGTACAGAGCGGCTATAAAATGTATAAGATGTGAAAACATGCAAACACTGAACTGAAAATATATAAATACAATCCAAGTACATACAACAGATGATCATAATAGTTCAGTTACATCTAGGGGACGATTTTTATTCTTGGCAAGTAATTAATGTAAGGGCAATGGTAAATTTTGGTTGTCTTTGGACAATTCGCACAATCGTGTAGTAAATGTACCCTTTACCTAACCAAATATAGTCTTTATTACAAGTGTAATATATTTGCGCTGGACTCGAAATCTAATGGTAAATATTTATTACCTCTGCATTTGTTACGAATATATTCCGTACTGCTGTTACCGACACCACAAAAACAATGTTCATAAAACATTCAATAGTATGTTAAACAAATCTTAATCGCTTGTCCAACTGAATGGGCAAGGTATCCAGCACCGATCGGCAGGGAGTACTTAATCCAATAATACATTATAGCAAACAGTTAGTATTAATATATTGACGTCATGTAAATATAAACTGCGAATAAAAAATCTTAATTTATAGTATGATGCTTTCTTGAAAATCCTGTCAGTGGTCTTCGAAATTGAATCCGTTGAAATGATATTAATTTACTATTTTATATTTCCCATTTTTAAATGTCATTTACTGTTTGGCCAAGTCAGGGAAATTCTTATGCATGCAAAGGGAATTTTACGAGATTCTTGTTGAATGTATATGATCGAAATTTTGGATGTAATTAGAAACACTTATGTTTAATACTGATCTAAAAACATGGCTTTGAACTTGGATAACATTTGTAGACTTTGCATGCAAGACGAAGATTCATTGTTGCCTCTATTCGAAGTCGAAAACGGTTTACCTGCTAAAATTGAAGCAATTTCTACGTGTATTAAGGTTAGTTACAAATTTGTAATTTTCTTCAGTATTTGTTTACCATTACGGATCTCTTTATAAACGTGTCCCTAATAAAAAAAATTATAAAATTACTGAATTAGTTACTGCCAAACCTGGCCTTATCAAACTAATTGCGTGAGTCTTCTCCCACTACATCGTAAGTTGGCATCATTTTCGTGTTTAACCACAAATATTTCCACAAAAGAAAGTTGTCATACTATTCACTGCGATGGACATGTCCTCTGGGCAATCCTCTGTATAATCACGTCGTCATCTTTAGTGTTCCACTTCTCACTGCTGCCACAATTTTTTCTTCACCCAAGTGCAGCATAACTGGAGTGTCCAAATCTTAATCAAGGCAGTGAAGTAATTTCCTTCCATTTTGTATGTGAATGTAGTGCAGACTACTTTATTCTTTTAGTGCAATGTGGTTAATTCTAATCATTATCTGCTATCATTTTGTCTCCTCAGCATATTACAAAAACTATATAATTTGGCTCTACTTCATAAACGATTTTGTGTAATGCCCCCTCTGTCATTGGTTTTCTTGAGTTTTCTCACTGTAAATAAGCAGGTAGAAGATTTAGTATGGTAATTTATTATCTGCCTGGAATTACCAGCAATCTATTATGTGTTAAGGAAAGAGCAGTTCAGGCTGAAATAAGATTTGTTTATGATGCAGATGAAATTTAGTGTCAAAGAATTCCAAAAATACCATATTTTAATACAGAATACTACATAATCTGAGGATGGAAAGAAATCTTAAAAAATAAAGGAAAATGTAAGAACTCATATGTATTTATGCAGCCACATTTTGTACAAACAAAAATTCTGCAGAAGAGTTAAATCTTTCAGATATCATCTGTATTACTCATGAAAATAGCTGTAGTCACACCTGAGGACAGCTCAACACTCCAATGTCATGGGTGGTTACTGATCACTAACTCATACCTTTTAAGCTAAGATGTATTGTCCGTTCATGATCAGTTATCGTCTCTTTAACATTATTAAACTTATGTTCCTGATTTTGGTATCATCACTTCAGGTATATGCTGGAGATGGTCTGCCAGCGCAGGTATGCCAGCAGTGTGTCCAGCAAGTTAACATTTGTTATAACTTCAAGATACAGTGTGAGAAGTCAGATGCGAACTTGCGAGAGTACCTTAATTCTCTCCAACCACAGGAATTTTCAATACAAGTAGGAAAATTTGTGTGCATTTTTTGTTTCCTTTACAATTGTTACTTCCTTTAGAAAAACCAGTAAGCAAACCTGTGGTTCACACTGATTCTCCCAATGTGATCCTGAGCCATTATTGCATCCACACCTCATCCTCACAATACACTTTCTGCAGATAATATTATTTTCCCATCTCATTACTTTTCCAGCTAGATGCTATCCGCGAAATTCCTGAAGTCCAGTAACACTGAACTTGCTTTTTAACTTATATAGTTTCACATTTGAGAGAAAAGTCTTCCATGACATTTAATTTTCCACAGATAAATTCAGAGTAACATTGAAAATTATGACCACCATTTATAATTTTGTGTGGGATATTAAACTGTGTGAAAACTAACAATATCCTGTGCCTAGATGATGATAATGATTAAGGTTTTGGCGTGATGTAGACTCACTGGTAGATGCCAACATTTCAGAGGAACACAGTGTCACCATCTTCAGGGCTGAAGATGGAGACACCACCAAAACCCAGATGATGATCATCATCCTCACTGTTGTGAAAACCTCAAATCTTGCATCCTATATCTTGTTCTCAGGGTAAAACAGAATGCCCTTCACTTGTAACCTGGGAACATTCTATGAATCTGACTACAATTAAGAAAGAGGAAACTGATGAACTTACTGCAGAAAATGAACATTGTAATGAAGATGGACCAAGCTGTAAGCTGCAAATTTGTGATAGGTGTGGTAAAGAATTCAACACTGCTTGTAAACTGAAAAATCACGCTCACACACACGCAGAAGAAAAGTCTTATATATGTGCTCACTGTGGAAAACGATTCAACCAGTCAAGGTCTCTCAAAGTACACAATTTAACACACACTGGAGAAAAACCCTACATCTGTAATACATGTGGCCGAAGCTTCAGTACTCGTGGTAACTTGAAAACCCATTTATTTACACACAATAAAGATAGGTCACATCTGTGTTCAGTATGTGGCAAAGCATTTAGTCATCCTGTGAGTCTTAAAGCACATACTCAGAGTCACTCAGAACATAAACTATTTCTATGTAAAGTTTGTGGTGAAGGTTTTGTTGATCGCAATGCTTTTAAAATTCATATGCAAAAACACTCGGGAGAGAAGCCTTATGAATGTCCATTGTGTGGTAAGAGTTTCAGTCACTCTTTGAGCTTGAAATCCCATGCATTCACTCATTCAGGGGAAAAACCTCATGTTTGTAAGACATGTGGAAGAGGATTTGTAACACGAGGAAACTTGAAAACACATTCCCTTACACACACTGGTGAGAAACCTTTTTTGTGCTCGCTATGTGGAAAGGAGTTTCGGCATTCGTTGAGCTTGAAAGCACACCACCTTGCCCATGCAGGAGAGAA